AGATGGATAAAGGGTTCAGTTCGTTGAGTCGGCGCTCCAGGACGATAATGGAGCCTTCGAATAGCCGGTCCGCTTTATGCATCGGCAAGACAAAGGACACATGTGGACGAGGTTCTGATGCGAATTTGACTGTTACTCGGCTGATACACTTCCGGTAATCCCGCAAAGACACAACATCTGGGTCAACCAACTCCCCAAGGCGCATCAGGCAATGCCAACCGGTAAAGGTAATGGCAAGGAAAAGGAGATCATCGTGAGAAGGGTGATCAGGCTGGGCTGCTAAGATGGTCCGCAAGTTATCCTCGGTGAGGGGACGCTTCCTACGCTGGAGCTCCTAGTCGCTTGGAGCACCCAGTCAGGATGCGATCAATTAACCCGGAATTGCGAAAGTCACGGACTTCCGGCCAAAAAGGCTCCAATTCAGCGCAAATACCTGAAAGGTAAGACCGGACAGAAGAGGGCTTGATATGGTAACACATGTACACGGTGTAAAAACTTGGAGTATCGAGGGTAGGAGTAATGGGCCATTGATGAAGATTACAAAACGCGATATAAGATGTGAGAGCCGATGTGTAGGTACGTGCGGTACTGCGCTCGAGGGCAGATCCAAGAGCAATAGAACGCTCCACAAGAAACCGCTCCTTTGACCAAGGCTCTCGACGTGGTTGTCTGGCCAAGGAGTGGGACAAAAAGTTCATTTTTGAGACGCCCCCAGCTCTTTCAGCGGAGGCGTAAAGAATCGGATTACTAATTTTGGCACCAAGGACCGCGCACGGGTGAAATTTCGACGAGAGAGAGCATCAGCCACCTCGTTTCGCTTTCCTTCAATTAAGAACACTCGAAGGTCAATACCATGGTCAATGCGGATACCGACTGCCGACATGAGAATCGGGTTATAGGTAGGGCCGGCCCGAAGGGAGTTAAAATGTCAAGTGAGTTAGAAGAATCGGTAAAAATTGCTACGCGCTTGGGGCAGGGATCCAATGTAGAGGACCATTGTAAGGCCGCGAGAATGGAGATGGCCTCATTAAAGAAAATGTTGAATGATCCATCAGCATCAAATACCGGATCACTGACGAAAGCTGCCGAGACTTTCAGTGCCCAAAAAGCCAAGCCTAGTTTACTTGCATCACCCCAGACCTGAATGTCGGCTTCTTTGGCACTCCAAGATTCAGCAGAAAGAACCCACACTCCTTCCAGCCTCTTAACAGAATCAACAAACCATGACAGATCGCGTCGGACGGACACATTAATGTAGATCCCTTGTGCCATAATGGTTTTGCCGGCTATTTTATCATAAGAGGAGTTAAGTGCCGGCTTGAGTAAGGGAAACACGTTCAAAGCCCAATTAGCATAACCAAGGATCCTCAGCCAGGTCCGAAGTGGCTGTCGTCGACTCTGGCCAGGGGTATTATTGAGAAAATCGTGAACGGCATCAACTAGATTGTCTTTTGCTTCACTTGTGATAGAGATGGTGAGCTCCCGCGCGTCAAACATGAAGCCAATGATCTCCAACTGAGGACCATAAAGTTGTTTGTTGTCCTCATGAGGAACTCCAATTTCGTCAAGCAGGTGCAAGAAAAGTGCCTGGTCAGTAGGAAGGAGACGATTGTATGGCTCGTAGAGGACAAGGTCCCCATCGAAATCAGCATTGAAAGCGTCATCAACATAATGGAGCATGTCCCGGATCCCTAGGACATGCGTTGCAATCCAGCAGACCAGACCAAAGAACAAGCACCATATACGTCCTGAAGCGCGATTCCCGAAAACAGCACAACGATCGACGTGGTATTCGTTGCCAATGAGAGTAGCTTGACGAGTTTGCCAACGTGGGTGCATCGGGAGGCGTCGGTATGCCTGAGAGGCATCTGACTTCCAAACTAACTTGGGTGCCACCCCCCATTTCCTCTCATAACGGCACGAATATTTGACGCAAGGTCAGATAAGTTGTCGAGGATTACAAATCCTCCATCCGCAGGAATCAGGGAATTTAAAGACTTCTCACCCGCACTATCGTCGTTAACTAACCACAACTTCATACACCCTTTCTTCGGAACGGTAAAGATTGGTTGTGCAACCATTCCGGGTAAGAGAACCTTTCCGAAAGATGGGGAATAGCGATCGAGTGACATCTCAAGATCATGCTGTCTGTTTAGAAAGAGGCTAGATTCCTCATCTAAATTGGTGAACCATGAGGGCGCAAGACAACCCCACTGGGAACCAGAGCGGGATCGTCAACGTTGGCGAAAGGCCAGAAACCATAGCGTAGTCCTTTGCACATAGACTGAACCAGTGGGCGGTTCGGGTGTGAAGAAAGGAGCTCCTCAAAACGGTCAGCATTGATCGGAGTAACAACCTTGAACAGGTGAGAGTGTGATTTGAGTGTTTGCGTAATGTCGTGAAAACGGAAATCACTGGAAGGAACATCCGGGAGGGGAGGCGCGACTTCAGTGTATGAGGCAGAGGGTGTTCGAGTGAAGTCGTTTCTCCCAAAGATGAATCGCATGTATCGCGGTCGCTTTCCCAGAGGTTCACTATCGCCAGGCTCAGTTCTTTTCTTTCGCTTTCGAGCATTCGGTTGCCCCATGACTGATTGAGAAACATGACTGGCATCTGTGGTTAAATCAGCAGTCGGTGCGTTTACAGCCTCCATGTTTGTTGAACTCGTGACAGATTGGTAAATCATTGAAGTTGGCAGGGCGCTTTCGTTTCTGACCGGTCTTTGGACGAGACTGGCCATCGCCTCTTTGATTGAGTCCATTGTTCCCAGCTCCACTGGCGTTGAGTCCACTCCCCTGGGTAGTTGGGTTCGGTGCGAGGTAGAGTTCAAGGAGGGTTGGGAGGATAGTGTGCAAATCGTCGAAGGCAAGCCCGGTGTTACCGTGGAAGAACTTCCGTGCCGCTCGATCGTACTCGATGTTGAGAGCGGCATTGGGATGGCTATTGAATCGTTCAATGATGTGGTCGTGATAGACTTCGAGTTCTTGCATTCGGTGCGGGAAGGCCCAGAGAATCGCCGTACGATATTTCTTCCATGCATAGGTCCACTGCATCGAGTTAGTGAGTTTCGTTTTACTGACGGACGGACCTCCGGTTGATACTTCAATCCCTTCACCGATGACGACACTGTCGGAATATCGCATTGTTCGGGTGTGTCTTTCCTCAATGAGAGCCCCGAAGTCGAGAACGTCCTTCCAGAGGAAAGGGGGGAAGTCAGGCTGTCCTCCTCGTGCTTGGAGACTTCGGATGGCGCGTTTGATGTTAGCGTCGTAGATGTTTCGAAGTCGATGTGTCTTTTGAGCCGTGGAGAGGTAACGTTCCTCTGAGTTTGTCCAGGGTGGACCTCCTCCCGGAAAACGCCAGTTCCAAGCATACTCCCCTCGGTGGTCATCTTCCTCATCTGCGACACGTTTGAGTGGGTTTTGATAGCTTTTTGAGAGGAGACGGCGGATTTTGGATGGTGGTTGAAAGATATTGACTCCTCCCGAATCGGGAGACCCAGGCAAATCATCAGGGCTTGATTCGTGAGCCCCATCGCTCGAGCAGCGGTCTCGTCTCGCCTACTTGGTTGCTCACCTCGCGATCCTCTAACTCCAGCTTCTGTTCGGGAGCGAGCTGCGACCTCGAGTCGGTCTCCGTACCTCTTCGAGGTGTCTGCACGTTGGGTGGTCGTAAGGTCTGACTCTGACTCCAACCGTGCGTTGACTGCATTGTACGCTTCGAATATGGACGATTTCTGGAGGTTGTAATCGGCGAGGATCTGATCGAGGTCTTGCAGGAGCGAATCGAAGACACCATCTCTTGGTTGTTCCAGCGGGACTTGTTGTCCCTCGGAGGGTCTGTCAGCAGGGACTTGTTGGCTCCCGGAGGTCGGTTAGCAGAGTCATCTTGGCTCATTGCCGATTGTAACTTAGGTGTAACTTGACTTTATGATGATCGACGATCCAACCCTGCATATTGGATGAGTCGGGGGATCTGAGGCATTTGGCCACTTCTCTGGCAGGGGTACTGCCAAAGGTTGCATGTATGGGGGAGCTGTCAACCATGGGGTCATCTTCCTCATTAAAGTTAAGAGGCAGTGGGGGAGGATTTTGGGGATTGTTGAGGTTTGGCTGTGGAGAGATGAGGAGAGATGTTTGGTACTCTTCAAGGTGGTTTTTGTGGGACAAGAGGTACTACGGTAGTTGTACTTTGTGGCACCGCCAGCCTAATCCTTTGCGGGATTACCCTGGTGCTGAGGAACTGCGTCCAGGTGCACCCAACTCCTGGTCCTGACCCGAAAGTGTTACCGTGGTTGCATGCCAGCACTTCCTTCCATTTAGGAAGCAGTGGTCCCAGTGTGTTTCATCTTTCTTGTGTGTCATATTTCACGTGATGTTCGACACCATGTCGAACCGATATATATGGCATTGCACTTATTCTTCAACAACCTTCTGGTGGAGCAGGATATGCAAATAATATGACAAGTCAGTGGCCATAAGGGATTTCCAACAATTGATGTATTTCTTAGTTTAGTGCAACACAGCGTACTGTTGTTCACAAACAACACAACCAAAACACAACGAGGGTAGCTTAATAATAGTGCTTAGTGAACAACAAGAACATGCAGCGCATTCTGCTTTTGATTGCAAACCAAATCATAACATGTTGCACTAAGAACTCCCTCGATGTTGTGTTCGTGAGCAAGCCTGATGTGCAGCAAAATATAATATACCAAGCTACTATGTGGAGTAGTGTTCTTAAAGTAGTAATATAACCTTTATGGTTGAGTTGCGAACGGAAATTATCATTGCCTTAGTGTGCAGGCATACTAGTGCTCAAGAACAGTAATACAACCAACCAGTGGGAGAGACATTGTGTGACAGAAATTCCTGTCACAGTCACATGAACATATTAGAGAAGGTGTGACAGAAATTTCTGTCACAGTGGATTCAATTGTGGGCACGGTATTCAATGGCACTTGCCGAAATTTTTTCTCTATTGCACATTCACAACCCTCCATGGCATCCAGGGAAACAACACCTTCAGATCTGGGTGAAGATCTCCAGCCCATCAGGTTCCCAGCATATGTCAGAAAGGCATTCAGATTGGATTCTGTCAGAACACCAGGGGGGCTGAACATCCAATTTGAGCAACTCCTTTTAGAAGGCAAGAATGATGATGGCAGATATTACAAGCTTGATACTGCAGACATGAAAACCAACCTGTCTGGTGATGATGCAGGCATCTCCCTCCACAGGGACTTTGACTCTATCATTGGGTTCTATCAGGGGTTGCCATTATTCGACAGTGTGGAGCTTTCCCTTGTCCCTCGTCCTATGGATTCTCTCTCTGGTTCCACCAATCTGCATGTGAAGCTTCCAGATCATCTATTCGAGATTGTGAGCCTTAGTGTCATTCATACTCTAACCCTTACAACTCACTTCCATCCAGAACTGTGAACCTGGGGACCATGTGACAGCACCAAATAAGATTGCCAACTATTGCCTTGGCAATTATTCAAAAAATGGCCTCATTAGAATTTTTTTCCCATACTTCACCCCTTCCACAACCCCACCTGGCCCAACCCACACAAATAACACCAACAACACCAACAATACCGACAATACAACGATGGCAACAACAACGCAACAAGCATGGCAACAACAATGGCAACAACAATGGCACCAACAACGGCAACAACAATGGCAACAACAATGGCAACAACAATGGCAACAAAATGGCACCACAACGGCAACAACAATGGCACAACAATGGCAACAACAATGGCAAACAACGGCAACAACAACGGCAACAACAACAGCAACAACAACGGCAACAACAACAACAACAGGGTCAGCGAGACTTATATTGCGGAATTCTACGATGAAATCCTGCGTCCAGCTTTGATTCATATCCTTCCACATTCCTCGCCTTCATTTCCCCCTTATCGGCTCTTGGGTGGCATCCTCTCCCGCACCAAGGATGGCAAGCTGGTGGGTGGGAAGCGTCTGGTTTCTGCTGCTCTGCTAGGTGAACTGGTGGAACATATGAGAGATTGCCTGGAGAGGAAGAAGGAACGCTTCGAATGGGCTCGCAGCTTCTTCTTTGGCCTTGAGATCAAGGGAATCAAACTCAGCACCACACATCCTGTCCCTTTTAACAATGGCACAGAGGAAGGGCAGGGTTCCAGTGAAGAGGATCAAGAGACGATCTTCAGACAACTTATCCTGGGGATGTTTCACAGTGGACTCACATCTCTAGAACAGCAAAGCACGTGGGTGGATGTGGGGCTCGAAATAAGCAGGAAGGCCCATGTTCTTCACTGGGATGCATCAGAGCACCACCAATTCTTCAGGTCCTTGCCACAGGGTATCAGGGGGATGTGGAAAGACAATGGACACAGCCTGGAAGGGAGGGGTATTTCTGCGACATTCAAGCAGGAATCCTATCTCTGGCTGGAGGACGTTGTGCATTGCCTCATCTCCCCCGCTTACCCATTTATGCACAATGGTATGCGTCGGAGAAGGGGGTTTGTAGGAGAGCTGACAGGTTTGACCCTATGCTGGGAATCACGAAAAAGAACGTGTTTGGAGAAAAAACCAAGGATAAACTGAGAGTGGAATTCGATAATCTGGAGGAAGTGTGGAATTCAGCTCATCATGAGAGGACGGAAGGGACGGCAAGATTGGAGATACGCGTTCCCCTTCGAAAAGCCAAAAATTCCCTGAGAACAGTGACAAAGGAGTTCATCGAGCAGTGCACCATCTCAGTGCCTGCAGATCGGTGGTGGTGAGTCTGAAATTGCTAGAATATGGAAGTGGCTTACTGTTGAAACTAGGCTTTCAAGCTTCTGATGGCTCGTGCATGTCGTCAGGTCATTGAGGCTCAGATGAATGGGACCCCCCGGTCTAGACTGGCACGACATGCTCTGGAGCTCAGTGCTGCACTCACATGGCGGATCAACATGCTGAACAGGAGACCAGCAGCAGGTTCATCAGAGCACCAGCTCATGTGTGCTTCCCTCCCTGTCACCGACAACTTCTCCCACCCAGATCTGTTAGATGGACGTGACAGGAATCCATGGAGGGCGCAGGCGGAAAATGAAGAATACCGCCCATTTGCCTCGGGAAATGTCATCTGGTTCAGGGACATCGATTACAACCTGAACATGACAGATGATTGGCATAGGCCAATTTCCCCTGGATTCAAAGCACGAGCCACACTTGGATTGGGACGGCGTCGGCTACTGCTGGATCGGTATCTCAAACACCTCTCCGGCTTTACCATCGACGAGCTGGAAAGAATACTTTCAACTACCCCCTACATCACACCACCTGCACCTTTCCGTCTACCAAGACCTAACCACACACTTCCACCAGATCTGCCGGAATCACTAGATGAGCTGCTAGCAAATGCTCATATCAAATTGAAGGAGAGCGCTACCAAGCACCTGAAGGATTCTTTCCCCAACTCGGATAACAGTGATGGGGTCCCTCAGCTCGTTCAAGGGACCACGAACCTGGTATTGACCAAGAATATCCAGCAGATCCTCGACTTTTACTTTTCCAACGTGCTGCAGACCATCCCTGTCCCCCAGACGCAATCCCCAGAGCTGTTCTACCATACTGTCCGTAATCCAGACAGTCCAGTTGCACACCCTGGTATAGGGTACTTTAAAGAACCGGATCTTTTCCGCAGTGGATTCACCGGAGCTCACATCAGGAAGCGCAACCCCCCAGAGTTCCATGTAGCGTTCCAGCTCTCTTTCCCACCAGCTGACCTGAAATGGGAAGAAGCAAGGATGAAGGGGACATACAATAGGGAGAGGAGAGGAGGCCAGCCCATGAGATATGGGGATGAGAGAGAGCAAGGGTTGATAGAGTACAAAAATGGTGGTAGGGGTTGGAAGCGGCATTCGTTTCATGCTGCCTGGTGGGAATTCATCCGGAGATTCGACTATACTGGTGGCGATCGTATTAGGGAGAAGGTCTGGAAGAATGTGTACTCCAAACTTGTTTGGGCACCCTATTCTGACCTTTCACGAATGTGGTACACAACATCCAACGCCAAAAGTGCAGAGACCTTCCCTGCAGATATGGCAGGTCAAAGGCTTCCCATAATCATTCTCAATCCTTTGATCGATGATAAGGCTATGTGGGATGGATCTTTGATTAGGAGGAGGGAATGGGTGTCACCGACCCTGTAGCACGAAGCCTTGTCTTATCATTATCATTATTTGTTATATTATTTGTTATAATTTTGCCAGTTTCAATTTCATTTTTCATGATCGGAGAGTGGGAGAGCCACTCTGGCCTTGGGGCCCCAGGGAAGCAAGACAGGGGCCAGCTGGATCGTAGTGGGGTCCCAAAACTCAGCTAAATAGTCGAAAATGTTTGTGAAGGTGAAGAGCCCCAGGGAGATTCAGTCCGTGCATCCAACCCACCTATCAAGATTTCATTCACAACGAGGTGCTCAGTATACAACGAGTTTTGGTCGCTTGCAAACGTGGGGAGTGGACGATTCCCATGTCCACACTCACCCCACCTTTCTGCCTGAAAGTCCTGACATCCATGTGTGCGTTTCGGCGGCAAAATATAAGATCGAAAGAGGAGAATTAGGCTTATTTTTTTGCCGAGTTTCATACCAAACGGTGCAGTATTGACAGAGATATGAGGACACTCAACACCATGTCGAATGGCACGTGCCTATCTCAAGATCCACCAAGCCAAATGGGATGAATGGCATATCAGCACGAAGCTAGAGTCAAGGAGAGTCCAATGGAGACGATGGGAAGGTGTTATATACATTGATTGGGAGGGACAATGTTGTGAGGACAAGTCCGTGCATGGCAAAAAGTCGGATTCTGCGGATTCTACCCAACAATGCACAATACACAACCGCGGATGCTTCCATTGCTCGTTTCCTTACTATCCAACACTCCATACACTCATTCCTTATTCTTTCCTTATTTTTCCCAACATTCCTGACAGTCCCAAGTCAATTTCCCCACGCCCAACCACACCGCCAATTTCACCCCCTCCCCAGACCTCCATAACCACACATTAAACCCAGCGGTTTTTCTACCCGTTGGTGACGATCTACCTTCCCCCTTTGCCCACGGAGCATTTCCCAGAGTGGAAATCCCATACGTGGATGGTTCAGCATGGTGTAGAGCCTCACGTGGTCTTGACAGCACCTGTCAATGGCCATATCTCAGGAACTACTGCACCAATTGGGACAAATGAGGGTTCGTTGAAAAGCTGGAGACGAGGAGGTTGCTGGCGAGAGGATAGGCGGGCGGTGTTGCGGAGTTAACTTTTACAATTTCCATCTGGGACCCGTTGTCACAATTTCCCCATTCATATTTCTTTTATTGTTTCTCTGTTCCTAATTGGACATTAGAAAATACCTTGTACATGTACACAACAAGTTAGCAATGAATAGACCCATGAAGTAGTTACATCCAAGTGGCAAAGACGCCATCCACGACCCCATGCCCCCCCTGAGCTTGTTGCTAACATCTAACACCCCTCTACTCATAATCCTCGGCCTTGACATCCAAGAGAGACGTATGTGAGTGTTTAGTTGAGGCTCTAGTAGACACGGTAGCGCCCCAAGACCAAAACCCGGACCTCCCAACCACATACACAATCACTACCACCCTCCCCCTTTCCCCTGCCTCGAGTCTAGGTGATAGAGCCGTTACAGTGCCAAGTCAAAACTTGCATGCCCAACATTCATATTAGGAGAAAGGTCAACACATATCTTGCGCACGGACACATGATCTACATGATTGTCTGTCATTCCTTTCTTGATCACTCTTTTCCAGCCGCATCATAGAAGGCTTAAAAGCCTTAATTTTTCGCCCTTGTCTCTCCCTCAGTTCGCTTGTTCAGAACTGAGGTGAGCTTTCTTGTCTTCGCTGACTTGGTCGATGACTAAAAACCTTGTAAATATCCTAGCGCTTACAACGTGCTAGGTAGATAAGCAATTCATTTTAGTTGGCTTGTTCAGAACTGAGCACTCGCAACGTGCTAGATTCTCACAATTCATCCCCTCAAATACCATTGAAACCTGTTCACTCTCTAGACACTGGTGATGTCAACCCACCCTCATCCGGGGAGTATCGTCCCAAATGGAACATCCTTAGGCTCTGTTCGGTAGAAAGAAAGAAACTGCTTGTGTCGGGGCATCCCGTATGTACCTATACCGTTATTTTTTAAAATGCCATCATATACGATAAACATCGCATCTAGTATCAACAAAAACTTATCGCTCTATCGGCACCATTCTCATTGCTCCACGGAAATCCTGACTGCTCTGAAAGTCTTTTGATGGCCCAGTATATCTGTTTTAACTATGGCGGAGATATAGTCAGTGGTCTGATCAGTCACTCATCTCATACTCACCTTGCCATACTTATTCTTACAAGCACTCGGCTTGAACACAGTCCTGCATTCCTCAGTTAAGTGTGCGGAAACTGAGTTCCAAACCTTGTCTTTGAACCCAATATTCGAGGTGCCACCTGCACGCTTAACTTCAAGAAGGGAGTGGACGAGCTCCGCTTCCTCATGCGATTTCCAAACAGCACGCTTGGAAGGTGGGTTTGTGGATTCCCCCTTGGCCCGGGGTGTACGACGTCGTTTGTTATCGAGGGATGGGTATTGCCAAGATCAGCATCCATACTTGCAACAATAATTCACGCTTAATTTACATGTGTGAGGTTTATAAGAAAAAAGCTGCAGCAAGAAATGACAACGAAACCGGCATGCCTAACACTCGTCAGTTTCTTCTCGTTTCTTGACGAAAGTGGCAGAAGAAACAAGAAAGAATCAGTCACCTTTTGAATGAAGACACAAAAAGAAACAGGTTTCTTTCTACCGAACAGAGCCTTAGTATATGGATGGTTCGACATGGTGTTGAACCTCACGTGCTCTTGACAGCACCTGTCAATGAATATCTCATGAACTACTGGACCAATTGGGATGAATGAGGTATCATTGGAAAGCTGGAAACGAGGAGAATTATGATGGTAGGCGAGGAGAGCGCCATAGAGGAGTTACCCTGCAAGGTCACTTTCGAGTCCGGAATTCCTTGGCATTTTTCCCACCTCCAGCAATGTCACCTTGCTACTTGGTCTCTTGCACTCACCCTCTCATTTGATTGCTTTGGTCGTCCCTGCAAAGCCATGCTTTTATGGAAGAATCGGTTTCTCTTTGGCGTTCTCTACATTTAGCCTGGGCATTACGAGATCTATCCAAGATAAATACACACTCTCATGATAAGAGAGGAACATCACTCTATGCAACAGTGTCTAGCTGCAAGTCTGCACCTAACAATTATTAGGGCTTATATGCAGGGACAGTCCTATACTTGCCCTCACCGACATACAGCATTCCTGTTGCTTCCCTTCTTGGTGTTCTTGGGGTGATCAAATAAGAAATTGTTGCGAGAGTGACGAACTCTGGGATCGTTGTTCATTTGGGGATGTGCACTTGAGATCTTTGTGCCTGCCTGAGTGTTTTGGCTAATTCTCCTTGTTGTACATTAGTCTTTGAAACTCAGGATGTTAGAATTACTAGGAAACAGAACCCCTGCAGAGCTTTTCTCTTGCTGGGACTTTTCTGTGAATTTACTGTGATTCCTTTGTTGGATCTGTCACTCAGGCTTTCTGAGAAATAATTCTTTTATTTAAGTTGACTTTAGTCGATCCCTGTAAGGCCTGAGAAGGCTGCACATGCTTTCCCATTTTATTCCATTTATATCCTGCTGAGATCGCATGCAAAAGCGTGCTTGTTTACTATTTACCAAGCTGCATGCATTTGCCGACTCCATGTCACGACCCGACACATCCGTCACATCCATCAACCCGCCCTAGTGCCACTGGCCCGTCCCGCCCGCTAACATCATCATCCGTCCATCCATCCATCCGTCCACCCATCACCATCATCCACACTTCCTCCCCCGCGCGCATACCTCCCAACCAAGGTTGCCTGCTCGAGTGGTTCTTTGTTGTCCGCCCGCCAATCAGACAGCTTGCTAGACGACTGGATGGCCTTTTCTCTTTTGTTCGCTTGCAGACTATTGTTCCTCCTTTGCCACTCGTTGTTCTTGCTTGCCTTTTGTTGACCAAGTTTGCGGATATTAACTATTTGTCTCTTTCTTCATTCATTAATATCGTGCTTGATCCGCCACTCCTTCCGGGCCAGCCCATTTAGTTACTTGTGCTTATAACGTGTGTAGGTTACACCGGATGTACCTCAGTTGGTATATTGACTTGGATTTCCCCCCCTAGTCTCTTCTCTACATCGTAAGGCTTCTGTCTGAAATTGGGACAACAACGTAAGAACGAAGCGCAGCGCGCTCCACCTGAGTCGCTGAAGCTGAAGTCCCGCCCCTCCGACCTTACGAGCCCGGACGACTTTGCACGCTTTGCGGATCATCCGGATATGCGTCCGACATGTTCCTGACACTCCGGCATACACTTGTACATATGTATATAAAGTAGCATGGAGGGTAGACTGGCTCTTTAGCCTTTACTCCCCAGTTGATAATATAGCTTCATATGTTATTTCTCCTACAACGCTACTCAATATTTCCATTATTTGATTTAGTTGGATACAAAAATTCCCATCACAAGGGGGCACAGCAGCGATTCTAGTTACTTGCTAAATTTTTGATCCACTATGATAATTTCCCCCATTCATTCATATTTACCTCTCTGTGCCTAATTGGACACTTGTTATTTGGGGCTGCCTATTGAGCCATTTGCATGCCCTGAGAGTAATTTTGTACTGAGGAGAGAGCGAAGATTTGGCAGTGCAGTGGCAGTGAGGTCAGACTTAGTGTACAGAGTAGCAACAGTGTCAGCACCTTTGCGTGTAGTGAGTGGGAGTGCAGTGGTAGTACAGCCAGAGCCAGCATCAAAGTGCTGACAGTGTCAGCACTTCTGCATGAGAGGGTGCATATTGAGTGGCAGTGCAGTGGCAGTGCAGTCAGAGCCAGCATCCAAAGTGCCGACAGTGTCAGCACTTCTCCATGAGAGGCTGCATAGTAAGTGGCAGTGCAGTGGCAGTACAGTCAGAGCCAGCATCCAGAGTGCCGACAGTGTCAGCACTTCTCCTTGAGAGGCTTCATATTGGGTGGCAGTGCAACCCTACCCAACCCTAGCAATCCTAGTGTCCAGAGTGCCGACAGTGTCGGCACTTCTGCTTGAGAGGCTGCATATTGAGTGGCAGTGCAGTGGCAGTGAGGTCAGACCTAGCATCCAAAGTGCCGACAGTGTCAGCACTTCTTGTTGAGAGCCTCTATAGTAGGTGGCAGTGCAGTGGCAGTACAGTCAGAGCCAGCATCCAGAGTGCCGACAGTGTCAGCACTTCTGCTTGAGAGCCTCCATAGTAGGTGGCAGTGCAGTGCAACCCTACCCAACCCTAGCAATCCCAGCATCCAAAGTGCCGACACTGTCGGCACTTCTCATTGAGAGCCTCCATAGTGGGTGGCAGTGCAGTGGCAGTACAGCTAGAGCCAGCATCCAAAGTGCCGACAGTGTCAGCACTTCTCCATGAGAGCCTCTATAGTAGGTGGCAGTGCAGTGGCAGTGGAGTCAGAGCCAGCATCCAAAGTGCCGACAGTGTCAGCACTTCTCCTTGAGAGCCTCTGTAGTAGGTGGCAGTGCAGTGGCAGTACAGCTAGAGCCAGCATCCAGAGTGCCGACAGTGTCGGCACTTCTGCTTGAGGTTCTTCATAGTGGGTGGCAGTGCAACCCTACCCAACCCTAGCAATCCTAGTGTTCAGAGTGCCGACACTGTCGGCCCTTCTGCATGAGAGGCTGCATAGTAAGTGGCAGTGCAGTGGCAGTGAGGTCAGACCTAGCATCCAAAGTGCCGACAGTGTCAGCACTTCTCCATGAGAGGCTGCATAGTGAGTGGCAGTGCAGTGGCAGTGCAGTCAGAGCCAGCATCCAAAGTGCCGACAGTGTCAGCACTTCTCCTTGAGAGCCTCTGTAGTAGGTGGCAGTGCAGTGGCAGTACAGCTAGAGCCAGCATCCAAAGTGCCGACAGTGTCAGCACTTCTGCATGGGAGGCTGCATAGTGAGTGGCAGTGCAGTGGCAGTGAGGTCAGACCTAGCATCCAAAGTGCCGACAGTGTCAGCACTTCTCGTTGAGAGCCTCTATAGTAGGTGGCAGTGCAGTGGCAGTACAGCTAGAGCCAGCATCCAGAGTGCCGACAGTGTCGGCACTTCTGCTTGAAGTTCTTCATAGTAGGTGGCAGTGCAACCCTACCCAACCCTAGCAGTCCTAGTGTTCAGAGTGCCGACACTGTCGGCACTTCTGCTTGAGAGGCTGCATAGTAAGTGGCAGTGCAGTGGCAGTACAGTAAGAGCCAGCATCCAAAGTGCCGACAGTGTCAGCACTTCTCCTTGAGAGGCTTCATATTGGGTGGCAGTGCAACCCTACCCAACCCTAGCAATCCTAGTGTCCAGAGTGCCGACAGTGTCGGCACTTCTGCTTGAGAGGCTACATAGTGAGTGGCAGTGCAGTGGCAGTACAGCCAGAGCCAGCATCCAAAGTGCCGACAGTGTCAGCACTTCTCCATGAGAGGCTGCATAGTAAGTGGCAGTGCAGTGGCAGTACAGCTAGAGCCAGCATCCAGAGTGCCGACAGTGTCAGCACTTCTGCTTGAGAGCCTCCATAGTAGGTGGCAGTGCAGTGGCAGTACAGCTAGAGCCAGCATCCAAAGTGCTGACAGTGTCAGCACTTCTGCATGGGAGGCTGCATAGTGAGTGGCAGTGCAGCAGCAGTGCAGCCAGAGCCAGCATCCAAAGTGCCGACAGTGTCAGCACTTCTGCATGGGAGGCTGCATAGTGAGTGGCAGTGCAGCAGCAGTGCAGCCAGAGCCAGCATCCAAAGTGCCGACAGTGTCAGCACTACTCCTTGAGAGCCTCCATAGTAGGTGGCAGTCAGACCCAGCATCCATCCAGCCTCCAGCCTCCCAGCATCCCAGCATCCCAGCACGCCAGCCTCCAGAGTCCAGCCTCCAGAGTCCAGCATCCAGTCCCCACTCCAACTCCCAACATCCCAAAGGTCGAGCATCCAAAAAATGGAATCGAGCATCCAAGTCCAAAAAATCACCCTATAACCCAACCCTAGTGTTCAGAGTGCCGACAGTGTCAGCACTTCTCCATGAGAGGCTGCATAGTAAGTGGCAGTGCAGTGGCAGTACAGCTAGAGCCAGCATCCAGAGTGCCGACAGTGTCAGCACTTCTGCTTGAGAGCCTCCATAGTAGGTGGCAGTGCAGTGGCAGTACAGCTAGAGCCAGCATCCAAAGTGCTGACAGTGTCAGCACTTCTGCATGGGAGGCTGCATAGTGAGTGGCAGTGCAGCAGCAGTGCAGCCAGAGCCAGCATCCAAAGTGCCGACAGTGTCAGCACTACTCCTTGAGAGCCTCCATAGTAGGTGGCAGTCAGACCCAGCATCCATCCAGCCTCCAGCCTCCCAGCCTCCCAGCATCCCAGCATGCCAGCCTCCAGAGTCCAGCCTCCAGAGTCCAGCATCCAGTCCCCACTCCAACTCCCAACATCCCAAAGGTCGAGCATCCAAAAAATGGAATCGAGCATCCAAGTCCAAAAAATCACCCTATAACCACCCAACTCAACCAAACAAACATTTATATACATATATAAACTATATATTACTTCTATTTTCGGATTAGCCCTGGTGCATGCTTATTAAGCATTTCCAATGCTTATTTAAGCATGTTGGGATGTTTCGTTAGAAACATCCCACTGTTTTTGTGCACAGACCTCCCCATAAAGTATAAATACCTTAAGGGCAAAAAGCTGATGAGTCTCAGACGAAAGCACCTGTATCTCTTGTGGGATAAGGTCCTCCCTTTTGCTCTGGTTTTCCCCTCATTATCTTCTCTAAAACACTCGATTTCTAAAACACGCGATTTGTCTTTTGCAACCCAACAACTCGCCCGACTCAACTAACCTAAACCCAACCCCTCCGCCGGTTGCTCCCCTTATATATATACTATCCCCTTCACTACACCGGTTGCACTATACACTCCCACTCTCCTATCCCCTCTCCTTCTCCTTCTTCTCCTCCCTCTTCCTCTTCCTCCTCTTCTTCTTCTTCTTCTCTCTTCTCTCTACTCCTCCGGTTCCACCACCCTCTTCTCTTTCACTCCAGTTCCCACCTTGTCTACTTGTCGGCTTGTCGGCTTGTCCGGTTATCCGGTCCCCTCCTAAGTTCCACAGTTCCACCAGTTCCACAGTCCCCAAGTCGAGTCTACTTCTCCCCTTCTCCCGTCTCCTCCAAACTTCCACAGTTCACCTTCCCTACTTCCACAAACCCTTCTCCAGTTCCCACCTTCTCTACTTGTCAGCTTGTCCGCTTGTCCCGTCCCCTCCAAACTTCCACAGTTTTCACCTTCCCTACTTCCACTTCCCCCTGAGCCAGTTCCCACCCAGTCTACTTCTCCCCTTCTCCACTTCTCCCGTCCCCTCAGTTCCACAGTTCTCTACTTCCCCACTTATCCACTTCTTCTTCCCCACCACCTTCTTAACTTTCAACTTTTTACTTACTTGTCTACTTCTCCCCTTCTTCCCTTGTCGGGGACCCCACCAACTTCTACAGTTCCACAGTTCCACAGTCCCAAACCTTTTTTTGCTCAGTCTAGTTCTTCCATTCTTGCCTTCTCAACTCACACTTCAAACTCAAGTCTCTACTTTTTTTACTTCCACAGTTCCGCATTTTTGCTCCTTCCTGGCTCCAGTTGTCTAGTTCAACCCTTGTCTACTTGTCCTGTTGTCCCATTGTCGTCTTGTTGCCTTATCTAGTTGTCTAGTTGTCACCTTGTCCTCTTGTTGTCTTCTTTGTTGTCTTGTCTAGTTGTCTAGTTCACCTTCTTAGCTTCCAAACTCACACTTCAAACTTCACTTCTCACTTTTTTTACTTCCTTAGTTTTCCATTTTTGTTTCTTCCCGAGTCTAAGTTGTTGCCTTGTTGCCTTGTTGTCTTGTTGTCTTGTGTTGTTGCCTTGTCACCTTGTTGCACTCAAGTTCAACTTCAAACTTCAGTTCTCACTTTTTTTAGTTCAACAGTTTTCCATTTTTGCTTCTTCCCTTGTCTGGTTCTTTAGTTCTCACCTTGTTGTGTTGTTGTGTTGTCGTGTTGTCGCATTGTTGTCTTGTTGTCTTCTCAACTTCTTCTCAACTTCAGTTCTAACCTCTTCTCCCGACTTTCCCACCTTCCACTTTCTTCCTATCAAAAAATTTCTCTTGTGGCTGTGCAAAAAAGGGCACAGCCACTTCGCTTTTTTTGATTTTATAATTTTCACTAAAATCACACCTTCCTAACCCTGTCAACCATTTCAATTTTCATCCATCCAGTCAAAAGTTATTCTACTTTTAATTCAACTTGCACCCTCACTGCACCCTCCTGCACCCTCCAAATTTAGTCTCCAAAAAAAAATATTAGAAATTTCCATTCCATTCTCTCTCCTGAATATATCACTCTGAAAAAGACCCCATATTTATATCTATTTTTTCCACTCAGATATTTCACTTTTTATTTTAGTTGCACCCTCACTTGCACCCTCTGCACCCTCTTGCACCCTCAAAAAAAAACTTCCCCAAAAAATTACAAATAAAATATCTCCTCATTCTATCTTCTCACCATATTCCACTTCAAAAAACCCCGCATTTTTCCCTATTTTCTTCCTCCACTTATCAATTTATTTATTATTTTTTTCCTTCAAATTTTATTTTCCCCATATCTCCTTACCCAGAGCAGCTATTCACATGATCTTTTTTTTATCTTGTAGATCTCCCCTACAGCTATCTGGAATGCCTATTGCCGCCCATAATTCTCAAAACTGACCGAGAAAACATCGAGGCTTCAGGTCAAGGGTGCAGGGTGCAGAAATGTCCGCGCTTATAACTTTTGAATGGCTGCACCAAATTTCAAATCATTGGTACCGTTAGAAAGGTGTGATTTTTCTCTTTTTTTCAAGCCCGGAAAATCCCGAGGGTGCAGCGGCAATAGCCTATCGCCCCCTCCTTCTATAGAGTCTTGGACACTCGTTTATATTTTATAATATTGAGAACTGGCCGAGTACTGGCCAATGGCACGATAGGGCACGACAATGAATTGGCCATAACTCCTGAACCGTTTACCGGACTTCCATTCCCGTTACACCGTTGGAAAGGTGTGATTTTTCTCTTTTTTATGATACCAAAAAATCGCCATGGCACAAGTATTATGATTCATAATACCCACTGTGATTAGATAGGAGTGCCCAATCTGCTGTTTTGTCTCCCTGGAGCATAACGGACTTTTGCTGATGCATAACTTGCAAATATATTAACAAAAATGCCATCGATTTCTCTCAAACTTGGTACCCTAGAAGGAATATTCTCCACGGGTACTCAGGATATTTTTTCATATTTTTAAGGCTCCTGAGAGACTCTGAATGTCGACTTTTCCCTTTTCCCACGCAATCCATGTTCGGTGAATATTCATGACAACACATGTTAGAACTTGAATGTGGGAATATATATGCTTACATGCAACATAACATGTGTGTTCTTCATTCTGATACCTAGCTATAAGGTTATACAGAATGTTACCCAGAGCTTGTATGTACTTGTAAGCGATGGATCTTCCAAATCGGTGGAGATTTGACAGAGATGGCAGCCTCTCAAGCTACCCATAGTGCGTGGGAAAGGGGCTTGTGCAGGCGCACACCAGATATGGTTATCTACAAGGCTTGTAAAACCTCCAAAATCTTTATAAGCATTAAAAATCCCCTTGAAAGCACCATGGCAGAGTATAATGCTCGAAATCATTGAGAAACCGCCATTACATTGGCCATTCCCCCGCCTCGGCCCTAATTTCCTTAATATTCGATTATCTTTTCCATTTTCCTATTTATGTAAATAACCGTATGTACAACTTCCCCTAACATCGCGGGGCACATAGTTATCAGGATGTCCTCAGATTTTCCCACAGTCCATTTTTGGCAGCAAGCCGCATCACCAGGACGTCCCAGGACGTCCACATTGAAATAGGCCGTTTAGGCCCTATTTGAAGCGTAAAAAACACCCCTTGATAGGGTGGGTTAATTGGCTGACTAGCCTGTAATCCCAACACAATCAGCTCAATTTGGTACGTAGTTTGCGTGAAATCGTATGGATTGGGTTGAGGGAAGACCAAGTGCGCATTCTGGGTGATTGCCTTGGGACATTCGAGTACGAGAGAACTTGGTCCTTGATATCCCTCCGCCCGCAGGTTCGGAGCTCATGGAGTCCATAGATTCGGGGGATCCACCCCTGGGGTAAGTTTGTTATGTATCACATACCCCGCCCGAATAGTTTGGTCCGTGCCCCAGCCACCCCCGTAAGCCGTGCCTCGCAGAAGCCTATCTCTGATACCGTCTCACAATGCCTCTGACTCCTTAGCCAACCACAAGATCCAGAGCGCCCAAAAGCCACAACGGGCCCGGGAGTGGTCTTGCGCCAAATCTTTTGGCCCCAGATTGGCGGAGGCTCAGCGGTAACCATACAAGCACTGCTCCCCGGTTTTGTATGGTTACTGAAGGGCCAAGTTCGAGCTAGTGCAAGGACCCAATCATTGAGAGTGAACAACATCGTGCGACCACATGACTTTGTCATAGAATTGGAAATGTGGCTTGCAGATGAACTGAACATTCGCTCAATTCGATCGACAATCAAAATCGATACCAGCCAGCTGAGGGGGTGGAGGAGCGTGGAGAACACCCAATTCATCGTTTGTCCGAACCTCAATTCGCGCTTGCAGCTATGCCGTCAGTGTCGATATGGACCCTCCGTGCGTTCTCATGAATTCGGATTCCTTTGGAATGGATTCATCATCGTTATCCATATCTGTTCAACAGGGCCTTTCTTCCTTTGTATTTTATCACTAAACGCCCTGCCGTGAGGCTCCTCCTTCATCATCGCAGCATCGAAACTCAACCGTGAAGTCGTCGCGCGTTAAGCTAACATGCCGTCGACAAGAGCTATCGGAATCGATCTTGGAACCACCTACTCTTGCGTTGGTGTCTGGCAGAATGACGATGTTGAAATCATCCCCAATGATCGTCCGTTGGGCATTTCCTTCAGAGTTGGGTCCACTAACGATCGTCATCTCTCAAACAGAGGGTAACCGTACGACACCATCCTGTGTCGCTTTCACTGGAAGCAGGCGTCTGATCGGTGATGCTGCTAAAAACCAAACATTCATGAACCCAAATAACACGTAAATCTCGTCTATGTGCTTTATACACTTTGTCCTAACTTGTGCTTTACTCTTGAGAGTTTCCAATGCCAAACGTTTGATTGGGCGGAAATTCGACGATCCTGGAGTTCAGTCTGATCTCAATGGATTCCCCTTCAAAGTCACAAACAAAGGCAACAAGCCCATCATTCAAGTCTCTTTTCGTGGGGAGCAGAAGGAATTTGTAAGTAGCGATCTTCATATTCCTTGAGATACTTTGTTTCCAATCGTCCAGAACTTGGGCTAACACAATCCATTTCTTAGACCCCGAGGAAATTTCGTCCATGGTCCTCACCAAGATGAAAGAGTCTGCCGAAGCCTATCTGGGTCAGACCATTACCAACGCTGTTATCACCGTCCCCACCTGCTTCAACTACTCGCAGCGACAGGCCACAAAGGATGCTGGTCTTATTGCGGGTTTGCACGTCCTTCGAATCATCGACGAATCTACCGCTGTTGCTGTCGCCTACAACCTCCCCCAGATGCCAGTTCAGGGTGAACGTAATGTCCTCATTTTCGATCTTGGAGGCGGCACCTTCAGTGTGTCGCTTTTAACCATCGAAGAGGGTATCTTCGACGTCAAGGCCGTCGCTGGTGATTCTCACTTGGGCGGTGAAGATTTCGATAACAATCTCGTTGACTACTTTGTTCAGGAGTTCAAGCGCAAGCACGAGAAAGACCTTTCGATGAATGCCCGTGCTCTTCGACGATTACGCACGGCATGTGAACGCGCCAAGCGTGCTCTTTCTTCTGCTGCTCAGGCTTCGATTGAAATTGACTCGCTCTACGGGGGCATCGACTTCTTTACTACCATAACCCGTACTCGCTTCGAGGAACTCTGCCAAGATCTCTTCCGTAGAACCCTCGAACCTGTCAAGAGAGTTCTTCGTGATTCCCGTATCCACAAGTCCAACGTTCATGAGATTGTCTTGGCCGGTGGCTCCACTCGTATCCCTCGTATCATCAAGCTCGTCTCGGACTTCTTCAACGGCACGCCCATCAAGTCGATCAACCATGACGAGGCTGTCGCCTATGGTGCTGCCGTCCAGGCCGCTATCCTGTCCCGGGATACCTCGGAAAAGACTCAGGATCTTCTCCTCCTTGAGGTTGTTCCTCTTTCCCTTGGTATCGAGACCACCGGTGTCTTCAATGCCTCCGAGTCGGATCCTCTAGCCCTTGATGTTGCTCTTCTTTCCCTTGATATCGACACCGCCGGTGTCTTCACTCCTCTCATCAAGCGTAACACGACCGTGTGGGTCATGCGGTCTGAGATTTTTTCCACATATTCCGACAATCAGTCCGGTGTATTGATCAAGGTGTACGAGGGTGAGCGTGCACACACCAAGGACAACAACCTTCTTGGCAAGTTCGAACTTTCTGGTATTCCCCCCGCACCACGTGGCGTTCCTCAGATCGAGGTCACATTCTATGTTGATGAGAATGGTATCTTGAACGTCTCGGCTGCCGATAAGACGACCGGAAAGTCGAATTGTATCACGATTGCTAACGGTCTATCGAAGGAGGAAATCGACCGTATGATTTTTGAGGCTGAGAGGTACAAGCAAGAAGAAGCTGCTCGGATTGCGGCTAAGAACGAACTCAAGTCGTTCGCATGCAATTTGCTTAATGCGGCTCAAGACGCCTGTGAGGCGAGTAAGGAGGTGATCTCGTGGTTGGATGTTTCTTATGAGGTTAGCAAGGAGGAATATAAGGAGAGGCACAAGGAGCTTGGGCGAGCTGCAGATCGGATCCCGCGGAAGCCGTATGGAGGCGCTGGGGAGGCGGGTGGGCCTGACGGTTCTTGTGGTAGACAGGGTGCCGATGTTGGTCTCGATGTTGATTGAAGTCAACTATCGACATTTTCACTCTCAACGCAGAATGCACAGACGGCAAGCGATACACTTCGCGAATTCGGGTCCGAAACTGTCATCGTCTAAAGCCCAGCGATCCTCTTTCTCGGTGCCTAACATAATTCATCTGGAGTCCTTTGGTTAGCTGGAGAAGGCCGTGCTTTCGAGTGCTTGGGTGCGGGTAATTTTCAGATCAGGTTACTTTTCCGAAGGATTTGTTTAATGAGCTAGATCTCCTCTCAATTCGCCGCTATACTGAGTCCCGGACTTGTTGTTCCACACGTCTGGTCTCGGTTAATTATGCGATATAATGCATCTGCCCTCCATCCACTGATGTCCCCTCACTCCCCAAATGTTCACCCTATCATTCAACCAACTTCGTGGCCTTTCTCTTTTTTGTGTGCCACTTCCGCTTCTTCCATCCCCAATGACGCTTTCAGCCACGGAATTTTTGAATCTCCTTTAACGATCAATGATAGTACACGTTTAAAGCTTGTATCACATATCGTCAATGGCGACTGCTATTTCAGCCACCTGGTGCTTGCAGTATTCATACCCTCTCTCATAAAGTCGGCACATCACTTCTATCTGGTTTCCGATGTTCTCATCGCTGGTGGAAGAGTTAATTGGGGAATGCCAGTCCTGTGGCGTTGCACAGACTCCGGAATGTGTACATCAAGGTTATGTCCGCCACTCGGGGCACAGCGTTAGACAGTGTGGTTATCCTCGACCTGGTCTTCATCCCGTGGCCGTAGCTCCATCTGGTGTGAACAGATTCACATAGTCGCGTGCCTAGAAAGTGGGCGACTTATCCCTGTTCTGCAACAAACTATATTGCATTGGAAGGAGTCCGAAGGACCCCGTCTGCATTCATGATCAGCACCCGGGAACCACGCAATCACTATTTTCTGCTTGCTTGCGACTCATTTCAGCTTGCGCGGGCTTTGGGTTAGCAACTTATGTTCAGACTTGACCCCTGTTCCCAGGTGACCCATGTCATGGGGAGAAACACCACTCTACCGACTCCGTCCTAGTACCCAGTCGTCTGCCAGAAAGCCCCCCCCCAGGCCGGGCGAAGCGCTGCTACTGAACAAGGGGCAATGCTGCCACTTGCCACTTGACAGCCTCCGTGTGCTTCTCATGAATTCGGATTCCGCCACCGTTTATTTCTTCGAAATGGATTCACCATCATCACCACATATGTTCAACAGGGCATTTCTTCGTTGAAAGCCCTGCTGTGCTCTTTGTTTGATTCCCTTCCCCTCATCATCACAGCATCAAAACTCAGCTTCTGTGAAGTCGTCATGCATTAAGCTAAAATGGCATCAACAATTGGGGGCACCTACTCTTGCTTTGGTGCACAGTGGGAAGTAAATCACAGTAAAAAAACATTGGGAAACCTGGGTGAAAATCCCAGTGTTTTATGGTGGGGCTCCCCCATCAGCAAATTCCCTTGATCAAAATCAGGCACTTCAAATGGATTTGATTGGATCTAAACTGTCTGAAGTGAGCAAACCAACTGATTGGCTTTAATAAAGGTCTCTCAATTCATCCACTTCGTAATTGAGCTCTCACTTTGAAGCACTAACATGTGGGGTGGTTCTCCTAGTTCTCCTAGCTTTGCTTGACTCATATTCATGATTCCTGCACTCCCGACACTTCTAATGCTTCTAGGCTTCATTGTACACAATCCCTGCACTTCTGGTGCTTCCAGTACTTCTGTGCCTCATGGGTTTTTAAGCTCGTGACACCCATCCTAGTCCAGATGAATATATATATATATATGTTTTTTCGTTGGTCTGGAAGTCACAATCAAAAGACAGCAGGAAATAATTGAGGGAGGGGAATTGTCATATCCATACAACTCTGGACCTCCGCTCCTGATTCTGGACCTCCATCTCCTCCTCCAGAACTCCACATCCTCCACCTCCTCCTCCCCCTGTTGGTTGTTGAGAGCCCACTCTACAGTTCTCCAAAAAACCGTTTCAATGTTTGGCACTTTTCACTTGATGGGCTTATAACATTATGAAAACACATTTTAAATTTTCCATAAAATCATGGAATATTACTTACTATCTCATTTACAGATCTGCTACATCTATAGAACGAGGGGGAAATAGGCTATTGCCACTGCACCCTCGAGACTTTCTGGGCTTGAAAAAAAAAGAGAAAGATCACACCTTTCTAACGGTACCAATCATTTGAAATTTGGTTCAGCCATTGAAAAGTTATAAGCATCAACATTTCTGCATCCTGCACCCTCGACATGAAGCCTCAATGTTTTCTTGGTCAGTTTTGAGAATTATGGGTGTCAATAGGCATTCCAGATAGCTGTAGGCGAGATCTACAAGATGAAAAAAAGAGCATGTGAATAGCTGCTCTGGGTAAGGAGGTATGGGAAAAATAAAATTTAGAGGAAAAAAATAGGGAAAAATGCGGGGTGTTCTGGAGTGGAACATGGTGAGGAGATAGAATGGGGAGATATTTTATTTGGAATTTTTTAGGGAGGTTTTTTTTTGAGGGTGCACTTGGGTGCAGAGGGTGCAAGTGAGGGTGCAAGTGAAATTAAAAGTGAAATATCTAAGTGAAAAAAATGGATATAAATATGGGGTCTTTTTCAGTATGATATATTTAGCAGAGAGAGTGGAATAGAAATTTTTAATATTTTCTTTTTTTGGAAAATAAATTTCGAGGGTGCAAGTGAAATAAAAGTGGAATAGGTTTTGATAAGTAGAAAGTGGAAGGTGAGAAAGGTGGGAGAAGAGAGCCAGAAAGGTTAGAACTGAAGTTAAGAAAAGGACTTGAGAAGACAACAAGGTAACAATGCAACAATGTGACAACAAGACAACTAGACAAGGGAAGAAGCAAAAATGCAAAGCTCCAAGGTTAGTGAAGAAGGAGTGGAGGTAGACTGGAGGGATCGGAGGGAGTGGAAGTCGATGGCCGGGGATGGATATGACACTTCTGGGCCATAGATCACATCTACCGATCTGAAGTCCGACACAAGAGAGAGGGACGTCCAGCAAACTTGCTGCTATGAGAGCTGCTTTCAGCACTGGAATGAGCTGGTAGCTTTGGGTTCTGTGGTGCAGGAAGGGTGCTGTCCACATATGTGATGGACCCTCTTTTGCTTTCTGTTGGAATCAAGGAAACTGGATTCCCATGTCTGAGTGACATGGTGGGAATCCACCTTGTGGAAAAGATTGATGTCAATGCATCCAGATGGCCGAAAGATGCTGCTGGAGTCCCACGCTTTGCATCAAAGCATGTTGTTCTGTACAACTACTCTCAGGCCACATAGGATGTGAGTGTCTATTTGTTTACTCCTTGGGATAGTCGTTCTTCTGTGTGCGCATGGGAGTATGACCTTTCTCTTAAGTCTCTGTAGGGAAATTATTGTCGTAGTTCTGTGCTTGCATGGAAGTACAACTGCTTGTCCAAAAATTCACCACAGAGAAGCTGTTGTCATTCCATGCGCGAATGGAACTACAATAACCCACTTTTTCAATCATGCATGAATTGCCATTGCCAAGTACTGACCCACCCCTTCACTTTCACTCACAGCATATGAAAGCCACCTGCTTCATTGAGCATATCCGCCTCGGTCTTCACACCACCGAACATCTCCCCACCTCCCTCCCAAGGGAGGAGAAAATCCTTCAGTCACTAGCCAGTTATGTGGTTGAAACACTCGAGACAGATGCCCTCTATGAAATTGAGAAGGGAATCAAGAAATCCCTGAATGCAAGCTATGCAACTGCAGACCGAGATGACCGACATCGCCTCAATATCCAAGCTGATGCACTCAAGGAACTCTTGTCCAGGGCACGCCCCTTTGACAATTCTAAAGTGGCCACAGAGTGCCAGATTCTCACACTTGCCACCTCCTCTCAAGCCATACACTCAATTTTGAAGAACCTGCCCTGCATTGATGTCTATGAATGGGTCCGTGGCTTGTATGCAATGGTCACACCACCTGACTGTCAGGGGACGGACCCCGGGTCCCCATGACCCCTCTCTATGGCCCACAGGCTAACCTGTAACAGCAGCCCATCTCAGGGCATAGCACTACTGTGGGTAAGAAAGTGTATAAGGTAAAGAAGCAGTGTAGAATACACTTGCCTACTGTGGGTAAGAAAGTGAGAAGAAGGTTAACTTCTCACTTTCCCACAGTGGCCCAATATGGCGAAAACTTCCGGGGATACCCGGAAGTCACATGAAGAGTGGGAACCGGGCCCAGAGCATGCAGCGCGTGGAGCATGCGGGGCAGAGCACGCATGCGGGTCCGGGCACGGGTCTGGATGTGGGCTAGTCAGGGTGTGTGCCCTGACACTGACCTTGTTCAAAAATCATCATCATCAAGGAAGGGCCTTGGAGCACCCTTCTTTCGACATGGGTCTGCTGCAGAAGTCTGCACTCAAGTCTTCCAGGCATTGCAAGACCTTTGCCCACACACATCATCCTCACAAGGGCAACAGGAGTTCTGCATTGAGGCTGTTGTCTTTCAGATGGATTCAAGACAGATGTATCAATATCCACATTCCACCATGTTTCCCACAGGGAGGTCGAGTCAATGGGCACAGTATGATTCATGGGCAGACTTGATATACCCCAGCTGTCAGGGTTCAGCACCCTGCCCTAGGGTGCCCCAGACTCCCCAACCAATCCCTTCCTTCCATTCCCTCATTGTTGCCTTTCTGTGTTGTGTATCTGCGCGCATGGGATAGTGTGGGAACTTTCTGAGCGAGCAGCTCACCCAGAATGTTCCCACAGGTTACAGCCACAGTTCTGGGCAAGCAACTTGCCCAGAACGTTCCCACGCTGAAGGAGAGAACGAAGGAAGGTCAGTTGGGAGGTTCAAACGAGACCACCACCAAGCTGTTCCCTGGTTCTTTAGTTAGGATGGGGAAGTGTACTAGTGTTATTTATTGTAAATATAGTACCAATCCGAGTGTTTTGGCTAATTCTATTTTTATGGGTTAGTTTTAAAGTTCCTGGGAATTGACTTACAGATAAACCGAGCCCTGCGGAGCTGTTTCTTTATTGAAATTTCTTAATTTGTCTAGGTGTAATTCTGTGTAGCATTGTTTTAATTTGGATTTAATCTTCTACTTGGTGAAGTTTCAAAGATTCTAATCAGTTAATGGATTTGGATTGTGTCTGGAGTGTCCCTTGAGTTTGTTTTATTTTTGTCTTATTTTATTGCTTGTTTTAACAGTAGCAAAATAACTGTTTTGTGTTTACACTTTGAAATCTGGAGTGTTAACCAGCTCTCCTGTTGAAATATCTACTTAATATTTCTCTCCTTTATTGCTGCCTTTTACTACAGTGGCAATCTTAACTGTATATCACTTTTTCGCACTGGAGTGACAACCAGAAATGCTTGAGAAAAATAATACTCTATTTTCTTACTTCTCTAAGGGGGGCGAAAAGTCGCAGAAAGGGTCTCCCTTTTATACTCCTTGGGTCACCTTCCTTTTTCACGCTCTACCTTCTATTTACAGGATTTATTTACAGTGTATTTTTCTCAAACTGAATAAAAATGAAATTTTCATGCTATAGTTCTACTGCGCTTTTGCTGCGCTGAACTGCGGTTCTACTGCAGTCAGACTGTGCCTAGAATTCTTATTGTCCTCCCTCGCCTAAGCTATTTTAATGGTTAATTGGAACTTGGCTGCGCTGCATTTGCCACAGTTACCTATTTCAAATTCCCTATATATACCATTAAATTTGCTATGACTCGATGATTCTGAATTCAAACTTCGCATTACTATGCGTACGGCTGTGCTGAGACCTTCAGCTGATTTATTCCATTTTTATTTAGTGACATTTAGTTAAAATGAGACTGAAATGGTAAATGAGTGAATTATTCAGGTTTAAAACTGAAACAAAAAGTTGCTAGTAGTCAAGAATTACTCAAACGAATGTGTTATAGCTCTCCACCTCATTAGAATATCGTTCCCTAAAATTCCCACCATGGTCCATCGTAGTTTAGTGGTTTTCGTGAATTTCGTTCATATTCCCTGATTCCCTTTTGTATTATCACATCCTAATCCTCCATATGTATTGTTGGTTGTTACAGTAGGTCGTCCTTGAAGATATCATATTTTTATGTATTTTATTTAGGACTCTGGACCTCTTGAAGCTGTTTTCCCGCGCGTTTTCAGGTTTCTAATTTCATGTCCCTATATCTCATTCATTTCTGGATGTTTTCTCACGTTCTTGGTATCATAAATTTTCATTTATTCCCACCTTTCCAATGGTACCAAGGTTGTGTCCTATTTCCTGGTATTCGTTGAGTTAGCAAAAGTTCGCACGCACATTCGGTAATCACGTGCGTCATTCCCATAGTCGTTCGTATGCGGGCGCCGTTTCCGTTTAATTGTTCGGGATTTATGATATGCGTGGGTGTTTATTTCTTTCATATGGGCTTCTGTGATTTATTTCAGATTTTTCCCTCATGATTTAAGGTTGTTTTGCACTTTCCGTGCTTTGTTTTGACCGGGCTCTTCCTTATTTGGACGGAAATTGGTCTTCGCGATCTGCCGAAGTGTGGATCTCGGTTCCAACGGCCAGTTCCCTGCGCATCGCCACCCTCACGTGTCATTACACATGATGCGGATTTCTATATTCCCGTCATGGGTATAACTTCACAATGGCTGGACTGTTTGGGCTGAAAATTTGCATAACTATAGTTCCCCATTTTTAATAATTTCCGTGTAAATTTCATTGTATGTTTTAATTATGGATCCTATGCAAACATCGTCTTTTCCCTAAGCTCGGACTTTTGATGTCACTATTCCCGTTATTGGATATCTCATTAACGCATGATCCTTTTATTATGAAAATTTGGGAGGATTAAGATTGGATCCCTTCCTTTCTAATGGGCTATCAAGCTTGTCTCGGTCGTTACTGGTTAATCTTCGCGCTTCCCTTTTAGGCATTGTCCTCGTTTTTGCAGGAGTTTTAGTCATATCTCCATCGTTTATAGGTAGTTTCCCCTGTAATTACTCTCATTGGTTCCGTTTGGAGGACATCTACATTTCCTATTGTAAACACGACTTTGAATTTTGCATTAGTTCCTGAGGAATCCTTGTTCCGTGGTACTTCCATCCTTGGCTATGTGTGCGGACATGGGAAAGTAGTTTCCGTGGAGGTTCTCTGATTGTTTTTATAGTCAAATCTTGGTCGATTGTCCTAATTCTTGGTTTAATATTTGCTATAAATTCCCCCGAGAATTCCGTCTCGTTGATGGTAAGCTTGAAGTATTTTTGCTATTTTTCTTTCTTTCCATTTATCGTGTGTAGTCATAATAATTCGTAAAAATTCGTAAAATTTGTTAAAATTCAGGTCCTTCTATTTTCTCATATCTACTTGTCATATGAGGCTCTGTGATTTATCTGGCATATTTCCATAATGGGTTTCCATAGTGTGGCCGTTATTTCTCCTACAATGCTTACTGGGCACTGCCACCTGGATGTTCCCTCCAGGTCACACTACACAACTCTAGGAGCTGTATAGTTGTGGGCATGTGACCCATTCCTTTATATAGCAACCATGCGGGGAGATGAGACCTTTACCCTTCTTCTCATCTCATGCCTGTTGGAGGAACCATGTGCTATGGGAGGCCGGACGAGTTTTCGTACAGCCACATTCCCACATCCGAGTGAGGAACTCGCCCGGACAGCCACATTCCCGTGGTAGTGTGACTACTTAGTCACAACACCTCTTTTATATTAATTCGGACTAACCCGTGCCAGGCCACGGATATATTCATTCATTTGAATTCATTTCCTTTTCCCTCAGTTCTTCACGCATATTAGCTGAGACTGAGGTTAGTTACATTCCTTTATTACTATTTCCTTTACTATTGTAACTTACAATATGTACATTACCTTTAGCTTCCCGCTTATAGGTAATATATCAGTTCTTCACGCATATTAGCTGAGACTGAGCTTCCCGCTTATAGTCCAGCTCCGAGATCACAAGTGTCGCTCATCAACAATGCCCCGCATAGGCGAGTGTATATATTTCACTCTCTTTTACTATACATCTCATGCCCCTCATAGTGTGAGGACAGGTTAGATGGGGGTTGAGGTCAGGGAGCCTCCAAGTCCGAGGCTGGGCCCTGACACCAGCAGGAATGCAAGATGACTTGATCTGGGAACCATCTCTGATCCAGATCGCCTTGCAGCCTCCATTGCCAGCACCCAGGTTACAGAGGGAAACCCACAGGCATCATGTGTCAGGGGACGACTCCCGGGTCCCCATGACCCTCCCCTATGGCCCACAGCCTCAGGTCTGGCCAGCCCTATCCAGGGCACAATCTACTGTGGGTAAGGAGATGAATAGATAAAGGCAATGTAGAATGCACTTGCCTACTGTGGGTAAGGAGATGAGAAGGAAGCTAACTTCTCATCTTCCCACAGTGGCCACAATATCAGCAAAACTTCCAGGGATACCCGGAAGTCACATGAAGGGGTAGGAACCAGGCCCGGAGCATGCGGCATGCGGAGCGTGCACGCATGCGGGAAGTGTGGCGGGTGGAAGCGGGTCCGGACGCGGGTCCGGGTCCGGGCTAGTCAGGGTGTGTGCCCTGACATCATGGCACTGGATTGATGCAAGGCTTGGTGACCTTACATGGGTCATCAAACATTCTCGACTTCCACTTGACTGGATCCAGCAAGACATCTTGAAGGACCCGATGTCTCAGGAGCTCACAAATTGGGTCACCGAGAGCTATGATATGTCAGATGCAAGATTCCACATCAGCCTCATTGCTGCGTTCATCCTCACTGCATGGGCTCCCTTCCATCAGGTCAAACACAATGAAGGGGAGGTTCCAGTGGGATGGGCAAAGGGTGCAAACATGGTTGAATATGCCAACAGCCTTGTATGGGACTGTGAATATGGGAAGACTCAATCAGGGTGGAAAGCAAAGCCACCACTCTTCCACCTCTGGTTGATATACATTTGCAGTATTTTGGTGGAGGACAGTCCTTGGTGGCGGAGACACAAACAGAAGGCCCGAACTCAGTCCATCAAACTGGCCTCCCATACTGCTGAGCAAGGAAAAAATGTGGAGATGATGACCATGTTCAACACCAAGCTCCGTGAGTGCTTCCTGAAGCTATCTGTATCACAATGATAATATTATTATTATTATAGAGAGGAAAGGGGTCACCATTGCTGTCCTTGCCTGACTCCACCTGGTAGAGGCCTGCAAACCTAATGCATTCAAGCCTGGAAGTCGCTATCAGATGGACTGGAGGCGCCATCCGAAGGAGGTATTGGAGTCTAGGCTTGCAACCATTTCCAAGCACCTAGCCCAACCTCCACACATGTGCCCTGTGTTCTGTGCAGTGCGATATTTCTTGGGTGATGAGTGCCATTCCCTTCACATTGTGGAGTCTTTCCGAGTACCACCCATGAAGGAGCGAGTGCCCTCCACTTCTTTGGCGCACAAAGCTTCAGAGGCATCCCTCCGTGCTGATTCTGAGTCATCAGAAGATGAAGCAGAGAATCCTGGGCTGAGTGCTCATCCTAGGAAACATCGCTGGGTTCTGTAGGAAATATTAATATTGTCTTTTCATGTGCACTTGGGAATACAATGTCCCTTAAATATACCAACACCATGATATAACATTGTATATTGACCCATCATCAAATCTTGCAGAAAATTATTATCATGTTGCCTTTTCATGCACGCTTGGGAATACAACATCCCCTCAAATATACCAACACCGTTATATAACATTGTATATTGACCCATCATCAAATCTTGCAGAAAATTATCATGTCATCTTTTCATGTGCACTTGGGAATACAACATCCCTCAAACATACCAACACCGTTTCCCATCATCAAATTCTGCAAAAAATTATCATGTCGTCTTTTCACACATGCTCAATAATACAACAACCCTCAAATATATCAACACCATTACATATAACACATTGTACATTGACCCATGATCAAATCTTGCATGCAATTATTGTCATGTTGTGTGATTGAGATACTGTCATATCCTGGAATCCCGACCCCGCGCACTCCCACCACATCACACCTTCCTAACGACTTCACCATCCCCTACACCACACCTCCCCACTCCTCAAGTCACCTTCCCTCCTGACTGTCTCAGCTCCGGTCTGGTTGCAGCACACCAAACCTTGGCCACTCCCATCCCAGAAGCTCGGTCCTGAGTCGGAACATTCGGAGACTCCGGATCTGCTCCGATACCCCGATGGACCTCTGACATCCCGTGACACACCCTTAAACCATTTCTCCACCCATTTCATTTATTTGAGTCACCCAACATCCTTTGGATATGCAACTCCGCTTTCGGAGTTACCCGCATCCTTCGGTGATCTCACTCACATCATCACTTATTAGTCACCCTCCATTCTTAGCACAACTATCTTCTTCTTACCATTCAGTCGGCTAACCCCCCCTTACCCATTTCTCGTTCCCATTCATTTTCCGGCCTCTTACTCTGCCCTCTATGGTCCGACACCTCGGTTCCCCGTTAAAGATATCGTTCGGGACCTTTCGGTACCTCTTGGTATCATTCGGCACCTTTCAGTGTCGTCCCATTGTTATTCGGACTTTGACTAAGTCCTTTCCACTCCCCTTTATAAAATACCCATAGGTTAGAACCTGTAGTTCCTCAGTTCTAATCTCGACTAAAATGCTACCCAAAGTCCCTCTGAGTGAATCCCGTTCCCGTTCTACAAGATACCTCAGACATAAGAAATACAAGGACTAACTGAGATGTAACGGAGGCACAGCGCTCCCTCCGAGTCGCTGAGGCCGCGTCCTTCTTAGAGCCTCTTGTACCATCCAGCAGACCCGGGCTTCCTGGAGAAGCTTTGGACCACCACCAGAGCTCTCGGACCCCCCGCTAGATGAGCCCCACCTGCATTCGGACTCACGCATTTACCCCTATGATCCGGGTGTTTGACAGATACCATGTCACTGTTAGATACAGCAGATTTGGACGACTCCGGAATGGAATTGGAGACTTAGTGTGGAAGGACCTCAGCCTCAGTGACTCATGTGGAGTGCTGTGCCATTGCTGGTTGTCCTGGGGGTCCCTAATTTCAGATCTAGCAAAGGAAAGTCTCTTGGGGGGAAATCAAGTCGATTTCGGACTGAGGTTACAAGTTACTATGTACATTGTATATAAGGAGGGGTCCGGAATCAAAAGGAGCAAGGGTACTCTGAAAGCAGACAAAGGGAGCTGGAAGGAGGAACAACACCGAGGGTCGAGGGTTTGACTCAATGGTGTTTCCCAAAGGAGGAGTGAAGGGCCAAGGCCCAAGGAGGAAGGAAGGAGGATGGCAGCTGACTGAATAGAAAGGAAGCAGCAGCCCAAATAGGAATGAGGGAGAATAGCGGAATTGAATGGAGCAATGCAATAGTTGCAAGGTCCGGAGTAAGTCCGGAAAGTCCGAACTCAGAGGTTAAACTCCAGAATATTGGCAAAAGTAATTAAATGGAATGAGCTAATAAGCGGAGGTGGGGTCAAGGTCCGAGGTCGGAGCTAAGACCGGAGGTTCCGGAGACGGAGATGTGGACGGGATTCCGGAGCAGAGGTCCGGAGTTGGGAGCATAGGTGCATGCTTGTCTGGAAGGTGTCGAGGTTGAGGTCGGACCCGGAATGTTCCGGAGTCGGACCGAAGGTGGTGTCGGAGCTGGAGGTGGGATAACCTCTTGGGAGTCGGCAAGGAGGTGACGGAAGGGAAGTGGGGCTCCAGAGTCAGTTTCAGAGTTCTGGGAGCCCGGAGTGGAGGTCGGGATTGTATGGATATGACAGTCACTCAAATGATTGCAAATCAAACGTGGTGAAATCCAATGATACATGTTGTTTGGTTTGGCTTCTGTCGTTTCAATAGTTCAAAGTTGTGTACGATGGGGGGATTTTGAGAGGGCCCCAAGGGTCCCCCCAACCCGAACCAGTGGGTGTTTTTAACCTATAATTTTATGATTTTCAAGAAAATTTTCAGTGCACATGCCTGTGCATGTGACTTTTATCTGTTCTACTAAGGGGGGTTGTTAGTGGGGGTGGGCAACCTAGGTTGGTTCCGCATTCCACTTATGTAATTCTGCTCTAACATGGCGGCCATGCTGATTTCATTGTAACTCGTATTTTCACTATGCTAAACTCTGTGAAATGGTCATCTAAGGGGAATGTACATGGATTATTATATACAGGGAGTATGATCAGCAAGATCGGTGGCTTATTAGATGTGAATGTAAGTGATCGGGTTATGGTGCCTTCAGCTTTGTGGTTGATGCCTGCGACTTTGTGTGTTGTGAGTGCTTTAATATATCTTTGAGTAAGACTCACCTCTTCGCAACACGCATCCCCCTAACAGTTGTTTGATTTGGAATGCCAGTGTTGTCCATCGCCATCCAACAGTGCTTGTTAATCTGCTCGATCAGAGCACCGCCGTTCATCTTCGCAATCTCCACACAATCTAGCTCAAGGGGAGTCTCCTCTATCCTCTTATTTTTAGCCTCCTTCTTTTGCGTGATCCAGCTGAACTTGGCAAGTCTTAGCAGGCTTTGCGTCCTCTGCATGATTCAACCATGCCCATCTCTCCGATTGTCAGGGGACGGACCCCGGGTCCCCATGACCCCTCTCTACAGTCCACAGTCTAGCCTGTAAACACAGCCCATCTCAGGGCATAACTACTGTGGGTAAGAAAGTGTATAGATAAATGAAGAGTAGGCTACACTTGCCTACTGTGGGTAAGAAAGTGAGAAGAAGGTTAACTTCTCACTTTCCCACAGTGGCCCCAATATGGCAAAAACTTCCGGGGATACCCGGAAGTCACATGAGGTGGGATCCGGGGTCGGATCATGCGGCACGCGGAGCGTGCGGCGCAGGAAGTGCACGGGAAGTGGAGCGGGTCCGGACGCGGGTCCGGGTCCGGGCTAAGTCAGGGTATGTGCCCTGACAGAAGTGGGAAGTTGAGAAGAAGGCTGCTTCTTCTGTTCCCACCCCAGGCACTATTATATACATGTGGCTAGGGTCACGTGGAGGAAGCCACGTCATCTCCGCTGAAGGAGCGGAGCTGGATCACCTTATGTAACCAGTTTCCTATGTCCAATAACGATATTAGAGTTTGTGCTGATTTGCGTACTGACCATGTTTTGGTTGCCAAATATATGATTGTTCACTGTCTAAACAACAATAAACACCCCCCAACGATCTCACCTGACGTATAGATCATCTACGGATAAAATTTTATATTGACTTTACTATGATTTCTAGTCAATATTACACCTAGATATACCACTTTTCAGTAGGACGTGATTTTCCTGATAATTTACTGAAGGAAAAACTACTAATAAAATAATTCCGCAATAAATGTTACTCAATACAGGAGTGACCAAACTGCTCTTTCTATCGCTTAGAGTGCGTGCTAGTTATCTAGCAGGTTCAGGATCGCTCACTTTTCTCCTGTGGTGTGATAACCAAGTATTGCTGAGAGATTATTCAATTAAGAAGTCCCTCCACCAAATTCTCACTAATTCTCACTATGACACTTTTGTTCAGCTGTGTCTAACTGACCCTAACTCACGCTTAGAGTGACGTGTTAGTTTTATATTAGCTAACAACTAATATTTGCTTTTATCTTTTGGAGCAAACGAACCAACCACTGGTGAGGAGAATTAAACTTTTATTTCTACCTGAGGTTTGAGAGGGGGCAGAAGCGGTGGCCTTTTATGCTTTTCAGAGGCCTCTCTACTCCCACGCCTCGCACTAGTTACATGTGCTACATTTGTATTATAGATAGTTCTAGAATGATATAGGGGCTTGGGCTGTGTAAGCTTAATAATGGACTTAGGACATGACTCAGCAATAAGTAATTCATTTCTTTGTCTTTTGGGCCGATCTCAGCGGGATCTTGTAGCGCTGAAGCTATGCTCTACACCGCCTTAATTACGAACGGTTATCTTTAGAAATGACTTGGCTATAAAGGAACTTTCTAGACTGTTCTCTAATTGACCCCTTTTTGTGAAGCCACATCATTACTAATGTTCTAGAGCCTTCCCAATTAATTAACCGATCCGCGGACTTCTGAATCACTTCATGCTTATGATCCGAGATCCAGATCATCAATCATTCCTTTGTTCCGATTTATTTGAGCTTAAAATCAAAAAGTTTTGATGAATCATGGGAAAATATACAAGATCCAGTTTTTTAGCATTTTCTCCTCTTCTGATGCGATCAAAAACTGTCCGCCCGCCCCGGGGAATACTCTATCATATGGTATTCGGTCCGCCAGACTTCCGGGCGCCAATATATTTCCCTTGAGTCACATTACTTTTTGTAAGAATTAGCAAATAAATATATATGAATTATAAGGTGTTTCGCCGTTTGAGCGATATCTCCGTCAGTTTTGAAGCTTTTAGAATGAAACAAAACCGTGGATAAAGTTAAGAAACAGTCCTTTTAGATGGTAAAAAGATTATAGTCAAAGGTTTACTGGTTCCCGAGATATTCACATTTCTTTCCCAATGTTCCTTCTTATTCTGCCGTCTATGTGCTATTTTCTTG